GTTTGTTTTGCTTGGCTTTCAGCCACCGAGATTCTGGTCTTGCTAATTAAAGTACATTCTAGTTAAGCTTGTCTCGGTTTTCGTTACTGAACGGCGGAGGGGGTCAGAACACAATCCTAAAATGGAACAAGAAGACCTTCACAGAAGCTCAACCAGATTGATATTAGACAGGGAACATCACCTCCGCTTTCAGCCTCCACCACCCCCTCAAATTTTTGGTTGCTTCCTCCTGAAGACTACAGTTCTCACCAATGCGGCTGTCCATCACATAGGTCTCAATAACGGCACTCTTCCGGCATAGGTCCTCAGCCATGGAGGCACTACTGACTTCAAGGTGCTTCACCTAGCAGAGAAAGATTGCATTACTTGTTACTGCCAAGCCTGCTACCCACAAGGCCAATGCTATTCTTAGACTTGGGAATCATCTAGCTTCAAGCAATGTCTCTTAAATGTGGCAGGCCAACACCTTTTCCCAATCTGCTCTCTTCATCCCAGACCTGCAAGGGTTGTCCATGTGTCTGACTTAGTCCCCCTAAGTTCAGAATTGGTATCTGTACTGACATTCTTTCAGAATCAGCTCCCCAGCCACAACCCTAAAAATCAAGGTCAGGCAACTCTTATCAGGCTTAGAAGACAAAGTTGGTGGACTCCTACATGGGTCCTTGGGAAGGCCACTGTGTGCCTGCTTCCAAACTAGGTGGTCTATACTGTGGGAAGTCCAGGAAATACTGAATGGCCCAAGGGTCTCACAAAATCCAAACCTAAAACCCAGGTGATTTTATACCTTCTCCTCCAAGAGCCACTTCTCCTGCTGAACTTCAGCCAGCCGCTGGAAGAGTTCTGAGATCTCCTCGTCTGAAAGGTCGGCTGGCCGTGGAGGTTGCGACTGTGACTGTGGGCTTCCTGTGGTGGACTGCAAGTAGAAGAGGTAAAAGGCAGGTGTATCACTGCTCACATTCAGGCCTTTTACTACAGGCACAATTCGGTACATTTGCAGAACAACTCAATTTCCATCAAGCAGGCAAATCATTTATCTCGTGTTTCCTCTATACATAAACATCAGTGCTGTATATCAAAAATAATTTTATAGTAATACACATGAAACATCCGGCTCCTACTACCAACTATCCTTTTCCATCTAAAGCATTTGAAAGCAGATTCTCAAGCGGTGGAGTAACTGGAAATTATGGACATTTATCATGTCTGGAAACTGCCAATTGAAAAAGGTTGTGATCTAAAGCTAAAGAGATAAGAACATGCAGTTTATATTTTCCTAGTGGAGCTGTTATGCACACCTTTGGGAAAAAACATCATTAAGCTATTTGTCTAATTTTTCCAGATGAGAACAGAAAATAAATTCACTAGTAAGCTTATGGGGGGCTCACACGTTATACTTGTTGCAGTCAGTGAAATAAATTGGATGTAGGTGAGGTAGTGGAACTGCTGAACCGATGCCCATGTTGTCGTAATGGACTGGGTCATTACCAATAATCCAAAATTCACCAGAAACACAGAGATGCTTTGTCTGTCTGGTGAATAAAGTTCTAGATATTCTGAAGGGAGTTGCCCTCATCTTAAAGTTTCAGGGTCGTAGCTTTCGAACTCTTCTGGACTGAAACATCTTTCTCTTGCTATGGTTCAATCTGATAAAGACACTCTCATCACAGTAATCCATGCCCTGGTAACTTCTCATTTAATTAGTGCAATGCATTATACATTGGGTTGTCCTTAAGGACATTTGAGGCATTTCAATTAGAAGAAAATGCTGGTTAGAAGATTACCGAGTGAAACTGGGCAATATGAACATACCATGCCTGTACTTTATGGAGTGGCTTCCAATTAGTTTCTGCTCCCAGGTCAGGGTGCTGCTTAATCTATAAAGGGCTTCACCCTTAGATCTCCAGGATCTGAAGGAACTCTTCATCCCCCTATTTCTATTTGTATCCTAA